CCCACAACAGTACCAGATGGGTGGTAAGGATCAAAATAAAAGCTTTTGATGCATTGTCACGGCAAACAACTTGTACTTTGTTTCATCAGTTGGGTTCTGTATTATGCCTGAGAACCTGCCAGAACACTCCAAGCACTCCAGAGACAATGCTGGGGGGACTAGAAAACAGGTCAAGATGTTCACTGTCCCTTAAACCAGAGTTCTTCAGTTATCCCCTTTTAGTTTGAAGTGATGCTAGAACATGCTGTACCTGGAAAAGAATCTGATCTCTTAGATCTATACTGTCTGTGACTGTTTATTTTAATTTTTCTACTTCTTTTTTAACCCATGGCTTCATGTGTGCCAGGGAGATGCTCTATCATGGAGCTATACCCTCAGCCCTGTGGCTATTTAAATTATAATGTGAACTAATGGACATCAGTTGAATTTAAAAATTCAATGTTTTGATATTGGCCAAATTATATTGTTATATTGTGTGCATGTATGAATATGTAACAACGGATCCCATCAAAATGTATAACTATAATGCACCAATAAAAAATGTGGAAAAAAATAAAAACAAAAATTCAACTTTTCAGTTGTACTAGCTAACTTAAAAAGTGTTTGATAGCCATGTGGGGCTAGTAACAACCATATTGGACAGTACAGATAGAGAATGTTTCATTATAGCAGAAAATTCTGCTAGACTATGCTCCTCAGTATCATTGTCTTAATATAAACTCTCCAAGAGTCCACTGAACACCCTTTGGAAACCACTTAGTCAAAGGTCTTATCTTCTGTTTCCTCTTCTCTAGGGGTTATCTAAGTTTTAAGGGAGAAATATGTGCTCTGAGAATTATCCTGGCATTGAGGGCGGACCACGTGACATGTCTGTCTTTGGTATTTAGCTATTGGCTTGGTCCCATCTGATTCCTTGGTCCAGCTGGAGTTGCCCACATGTATGTTCCAGCCCATTTGTTAATGGTATTGTCACAACTGAGAGACATCATCTAGTCTGCCAGCCTTCTCAGTTGCCTCCCTTTGTAGAGAACAACGGAAACTTCTGGATACTCCAACAGACCRCTATGCATTGAAGTTACCCTCAGACCCTCTGTTAATAAAAGATTTTCCTGCTCTCTTTATTCCCTCCTAGTTGATATGTAGTTTCTATTTCCTATTCCCTTTTTTGGACTCAGCTAAGGATGGTTGACTCTGTTCCTGTTCTTCAGGGCCCTGAAGGCTCTAGACTCTAGTCACTTTCCACTATAGGCAAAACCCTTATCTCCTTTTCAGGGAGAGACCATCTCCTTCCTTATCTTCTTCCTCTTCTCTATGGTTTATGCAAGGGTCAGGAAACTTTCTGAAAAGGTCAAATAGCAAATATATTAGACTTTGTAGACCATTTTCTGTTCCAACAACTCAACTCTGCTGTTCTGAAAGCAGCCATAGACCACACTTAACCAAAATAAACCAAATAAAACCTTATTTACGAAAAACTTTACACTTACYGTTTGCTGACACTTGGCTTGTAGTATTGACTTTAGACTTTTAGGTCTTTTTGTCTTTGACCCTTAGTGTTTAGAAACAAACTTTTAGGTGGGTGTACATAACTGTCATCCCAGTGACTCAGGAGGCTGAGGCAGGAGGATCTCAAGTTCGAGACCAGCYTGGGCAACTTAGGCCCTGAGCAACTTAATAAGACCCTGTTTCAAAATTAAAATAAATCAATAAATGAAGGGCTGGGGATGTAGGTAAGCACCCCTGGATTCAATTCCTGGTCACCCTGCAACCCCCAGAAAACAGAAACAAGCTTTTAGAATTTAAAAATATCTATATTGAAGTGCCTAGCTCTTTCATGTGAAAGTCAATTGAATCTGCTATTTCAATAGATTTCAAATTTACCTTTGAATTCAAACACCAATAATTTCCTTCTTTCTTCTAGGCATACGGTACCCTAAAGGGAGGGCATATAAAAAGTTCCCGTGGACATTGAATGGTATGAGGAAGGATACAGGTAAAAGGATTAGAAAATAGTTAAAATATTTCTCAAATATATWTACTAAATAGACTAGCAATTCTTGTGCTCCGTGTCCCCACCCGCTTTCTGGCGACGTGATTCTGCGCCTGTCACGCTCTGTTTCTTCTCCTGATCATTGAGCCGGCCTAATGCAGCCCCCAGGCTGCCAGCCTGGTGTTCCCTAGGGCTGAGGATCTAGTGTTAGTAGGGCACGATTCGATTCACATTGAAGATGGATATTAAGTCTTTATACTCTGGGTCTTGTCAAAAAAACAAACAAACAAACAAACAAATTTGCCTGCTATCAAAAGCATACAAAATGCCCCTTCCCATAACAGCAGTTGTCTGTGTTYACTGATATGGAAGAGACTGTCCGTGCCAAGCCTCCGAGGCGGCTTCGTCAAGGTCAATTCTGCTGATCTTTTTCAACGATAACCCAAAGAGGATTAAGTTAACATCTGACCTTTAAAGAGTTTATCTTTGGGGAACCAAGCTAATTTAAAAATTAAAAGACTGTTCTTGAAAAATATTTAGATCAAAGACTAAGAAAAACATAGACACACTACTTATAACAGCAGAAATACCTATAGAAAATTCAAAATCACAAATTAAATGTATTATCACATGGATGAAGATTCTGGAATCAAACAGAAGTGGATTCCAATCTTGGGTCTGCCACTTTCTGGTTGGGCAAGTGCTTTGAGTTCTGTGATCTTATTTGTAAAATAGGGATAATACTAGTAACTACCCATGGGTTTGGTAAGAGGACTAAATGAGATAGTACATGTAAAGTTATGTTATTTCGACTAACTTTATAAATATTACTTTAGACAGTTTTGTTGTTGTTTTTTTTTTTTTGTTTTGTTTTTGTTTTTGTTTTTTTGCAGTGTAAGCTACATCCCTAGTCCTTCTGTGGACATTTTAAAGTTTAAAACGTTTTAAATTGGTGGCTGGATGTGTAGCTCAGTGGTAGAACACTTGCCTAGCATATGTGAAACCCAAGTTCAGTAGGGCACAAACACACACAAAAATTAAAATTTGTCTTACCTGCTTGCCCCATCATATTGACAGTTGAATGGGATCTCTTGACAAACTGGCTGGTTCTCAATTATGCCCAGAACTCAGAGAAACCTGTAGATTCTGAGGTGGCTCAGCTTTGAACCAGATGTTACTAACATAGATGCAGCAGTGCCAGCACCCCAGGTGCCCCTGTACTTGACCATCTGCTCCAGATACACAATATAACAGCTTTGTTACTACTGAGGTCATTTTAAAGAAATGGTAACATGAGAATAGGAATGGCAATACAGCCCAGAAAAAAATCTATCTTTTAAATTCTCCTGTAAATAATTTTCAATTCAGTGAAATACCATTTTTAAATTGTTCTAAGACATTGTTCTTCATGACGTTAGGCATATTAAGCAAGTTCTCTACCACTAAGCTATACCCCAGCTCTGGTTTTCTTTTCATTGACTTATGTGATGGTTTTAAGGTATCTCTTTTGCTGTTGACAAATGTCATAAAGCCATAGGGACTTAAATGGGCCTAAAAATAAAATCATGGACTCTTCCTAGAAGAAAGTTTAGACTAATTTCAAGCTTTTCTCTTCCCTTGCTATTACTCAAGCCTCATCCATGGACCAGAGCTTTGAAATCGCCTGAATGGTTCTTAGAATTGCAGGAACTCACTGGGCAGGGTGGCTCATACCTGTAATCCTAGCTGTAATCCTAGAGAGGCAGAGGCAGGAGGATCATAATTCAAAGCCAGCCTCAGCCCTTAGTGATGTCCTAAGCAATTTAGCAAGACTGTCTCAAAATTAAAAAATAATAATAATAATAATTAAGAAAAAAGGGCTGAGGATGTGGTTCAGTTCAGTGGTTAAAAAAAAAAAAAGAAAGAAAGAAGGAAAAGGAGAAAAGAAAATAGAATTGCAGAAGCTCTGGCCTCACCCTATACCCGCTGAATCAGAATCTGCATTTTTAACAAACTCTCTAGATTGGTGATGCTAGTAATATTGTATTATATTATAGTTGAAGAAGCAGCTGGGAGGTGCACATTGGAGTTATCCAGTGACCTTGAAAAACCGATGCTGGGTCCCACCCACAAAGATTCTCATTGTATGGGCACTAGGATTTTAAAACTCTCCCAGGTGGCTGAAATGTGCAGCCAAGGTTAGAACTTGTGCAATCCCAGGACATTCTTTTCCCTTCCTCCACTCATCACTATATATATATTTTTTCTCTTCAAGTAGAACTATCTCAGCTATAGTAAAGGGCTCATTTTATGTCATTTGTATCAGGACAGATGACTGTCTTCTAGATAATGTTCCACAATTTGAAGATCTACTTTGAATTTAAAAATCAGCTTTATGAGTTTCCTCTGAACCTCTGCCAAGATCTCCATACCTCTCTTTTATTAAGAAGTCCAGAACTAGACACAGGCCTGTAGTACAGCCCTCGACAATGATGAGCACCCGCATAAAGGACTTTTGTTTCTTTCTGAATGAAAGGTACTGTTATAAATAAAGTCAGACTACTTGGATGGGGTGGGGAGGGCCTTTGATGGCCAGCAAAAGGTTTTCTCATGCTTACAGTCTGGCAGTGAGTCACATAAGGAGAAAATCTTCCTGTTTTGAGCTTTCAAAATGAGAACACTAGATATGTTGTCACTTAACCAAATGCTGTAATTAATAAACTTTCTTRCATCTGTAATGCATAGATGGCTAAACAATAAAAACTAAACAGTTCAACTGTTTCAATAAATTTGGCTGAGGTCATGAGCAGAAAACTCAGCCTTAAACCTTAGAGACCAGTGACCTCCACACCTGACTGCTCCGCCTGTAAGAATCTGGGATGCTTACTAAATATGTACAGATGTATGGGGCAAAAGTATAGGTGGTTTTAGAAAACTAGATCAGTTCTGAAACTTTGGGGTGGGGATGTCTTGATAAAAATTTATTCAGCATTTCCAAGTATCTCAAAAGTGATGCTTGTGCTGCCACTTCATGGGTCACACTAGGAGCGGCAAGGCCCTGGATATCAATAACTATCAGTTTGAGAATCAGAACTTCAGGCATCTCCAGTGTTGCTCATCTCCAGTGTTTACCAGCAGCTCAGGGTTTGTTAATGTGAGGGGTACASGGGCTGCAGGTGTGCTCAATGGTAGAGTGTGAGTTTTTGTCTTGATCCTAGCCCCACCAAAAAAAAAAAAAAAAAGATATTAAAAAGTGATACAACAGCTAATATAAAATGCCAAGTGGGCAGATTCAATTTCAAACCCTGTGAAAAAAAAATCTGGCTGAGACTGTTTAATTCTGTTCATGCTCTCCTAATACAAGCAGAGAGTGAAATCTTAGTTCCTTTATTTCTCTAGTGATCTGTTCCTTAGAGCAAACACAAAGGCAGGAGGAACCATTGCTTTAAATTCTTATTATTTTAACTGATGTATCTGGAGCACGGTGATAAATTAATCATGACGTCTGGTCTGATTCACAATCATATTCTAGCCCAATTTACACTTAGAATTTGCAGAACTGAAATGCGATGCATTTAAAGGGTGCACACATCCCAGATTTTTCTCTTCGCTGAGCCCACGGAGGGAGGAGCTCTCCGTCTTTTCCTGTAAGCACCTGCCTGTAGGGCCCTGGCCACCGTGGACCTGACTTCCCGCACAAAAAGCGCCCAGGAGGCAGAGAGAAAGGGCGATTCTGCTGCAGTCTCAGCAGCTGATGAATGAGGCCTGCTTGCAACGGAAAATCGTTAAAATATATCTTCCCGGCTTAATGACCAAGGCGGGCTTATTCACCGGGAAGGGGGAGCGCGCGGTGGTGTTACTAAACATAACAGATGGCAGCTGTCTGCGGCTATATAGGGCGCGCTGACAAATCCCCCTGGACGGCCGCTAGGCCCTGGGCTGCTGGGCGTGGGTGCAGCCGCCCAGCGGGCTCTGACGGCACCGCCCAGGGAAGGACCCCCGGGAAAAGGCTGCCTCCCGCGCAGCCCCGGGAGTCCAGCCCGCTGGCTCGCGCGGCTCGGGGCTGAGAYGCAGGATCGCTCTACCCGCCCCCCACTCCCCGCCTCCCGGGGTGGAGAAAGGGCTAGGCTCCTCCAAGGTCATGTACCTCCACACCTGGCGTCCCCCTCCAACATAAGCTGCCAGGGGAGATAATTAATTCCCTGCGCCGGTACCTATCCTGTGCCTGCTGGGCTGTKCGAAGAGCCGGTCTCCCCGCATCCACCTTGCAAAACCTAGGGATGGCAGGCACGCACTGCGACAAGGATGACCAACCGTGTCCTAGTGCTGGTTTTGTGAGAAATGGGTCACTGCCAAGAACTGAGTATAGTAAACCTATTTTCCAAACCCTAGATCAAGACAGGACCTGTCCAGTGACATTTCTTTTGATTTGGAGATTTATTTAGATGGGGAAAATCTTACAAGGTTATGAAAGTTGTTGTTTTCAGATATAAATGTTTTAAAATATTTGTTTTAAAACATAAAACTAAATGAAATTGGACAGCACTGTAGAAGTCTGCAGAGCTTCCTGGAATATGGGGCAGGTGTTAGGTTGCCTGCTTTGGCTTGGGGTGGAGCAAAAAGGGAGAGATTGAGTTCTAAGGCCTGAATAATCATGAAATACTATATAATTTGTTAGCTGCAAAGACTGTTAAAAAGGTAAGGCCAAACAACAAAGCATCAGACAGCCATCTGCAAATCAGTAGGAGCTATCCAAGGAGAAGGTGCATAGGCACCTTCAGCACTCCTGGGCTAAGGGGCTGTCTGAACTGGGCTGCAAGGGTGACTACAAGAGGTGGCATGTGCATTCAGTGTCTAAATTCATGCTATCTGCTATTGTGTGCTGGAGTCCATGAAAAGCCTATTGCTCCCCTCACCTCTCCTTGACCCCTTCATTCTAGAAGGTTAGGGTCTAAGGCTTCTTTGTCTTCTCAAAAGTCTTACAGCACTTTTCAATGACACTGGGGAAAAGCTGAGGTCATTCATTTATTCAACCAATGTTGATTAAGAGCCTCTTATGTGCTGAGCCTAGGTGCTCCAACTCTGAACATAACAGGGAAGGATCTTTGCCCATGTGGAACTTACAAGAAGCAAGCTAAATGAATAAAATCTATGGAGATTGTGGACCTGACAATGGACTAGCACTAGTTTCCCATAAATAGAATCCTTCCTTTTGACATAGAATTTTGACACCTTGCTGGACCTCCTTCCATGAAGAACAGATTATTCAGTAATTTCAAAGAAAGAGGCAAGGATGAAAGAACACATATTGAAAGAAAAAGAAAAGTTCTAATTCTTTTTTATCGATTTATCTGGTAGAGGGGGCTTTGGTCCACATGTGGATCTTCCCCAGATAATATGGGTCTGTGGATAATTGGGAATTTGGCTGTGAGTCATTGAAGAACCTGAACTTCCTGTYTCCATTCCTAGGAATGCTGAGGTCAGATGAAAAATGCAAGGCTTCTGGTAGTCAACCTCACTAGCACCATAATTTATTAACCTTACTGCACTTTTGTTTTCTTGAGATGTGGTCTTGCTGTGTTGCCCAGGCAGGCCTCAAACTGGGGATCCTCCTGACTCAGCTTTCCAAGTTTCTGGGATTACAGATTTGCAACACCATGCCTGGTACAGCTATTCTTTTTTAATTCTTCTGCTAACCATGTAGAATTCTAATTTWAAAAAACCCCTTCTATCATTGCTATAACATATGGTTATAGTTATACTTACTTGAGATTATTTAAGGTAGTAAGTATATGGAAGAACTGGACATTTTAAAATAGTTCTACATATATTTTAAAGTGTATTTTAAAATGTAGTTTATCTGTCACTTCACAGAAATTAATTCAGAAGTAAACAAGTATTTTTTTAAAGTGAGTTGATAAAAAATACAAAGTTAATTATAATATACATGGTACTCAGATACAATAAAAATAACAGTTGTGTTAGTCTTTTTGTTGTTGTTGTTGTTGTTGTTGCTGGACCAAAATACCTAATAAAAACAACTTAGAGTAGGAAAAATTTATTTTGTCTCTTGGCTTCAGAAGATTCATTCCATGGTGGACCAGCTCCATTGCTCTGGGCCTGAGGTGAGAACATCACGGTGGAAATGTGTGGTAGAGGACAATTGCTCAGCTCATAGCAGYTGGGAACAAAAGGGTGAAAGAGGAAGGGGCCTAGGAGAAGATAAAGTCTCAGGAGCACACTCCAAGTGATCTAATTCCTTCAATGAGGTCCCACCTCCCAGTAATCCATCAGTGGATTTACTGATGAGGTCAGAGCCCTAATGATTCAATCACTTCCCAAATGTGAAGTGAGAGACTTCTCCCAAGATGTTTGGGGAACATCTCAGATTGAAACCATAACATTTAAAAAGATGATTAAAATGTAAGTAGAAGATTCCTGGGGACCAAAAAAAAAAAAAAAAAGCAAAGGCACCTGTGATTGCCCCCAACAAAGTTTCCTTCACAACATGCCTTCTAGTCAGACTTTGCCAAATCAAATACTCCATTAGCCCTCAGTAGTAGATAAATAAAACCAGGTACCTAATGCTTAAGGGAATATATATATATATATATATATATATATATATATATATATGGAAAATTCTGCCATACAATTTTATCAACAGAACATTTTCTTACTCATAAGACGTCTTGCTTAATGTGATCATGGCTTTCGATCTTCAGAGCTCGGAGCCATTAGAAACGTGCCAGAAATCCTCCAGTCACAGCAAGAATGTTTCTTTAGGAAGTCACCCAGAATTGAAAATTCTGTTTGAAAAGCTCCATAAAAATCATGAGCTATTTATCACTTTCCCTTTAACATCTACTCCAAGAAACCCGAACTTCAAAGTCTAAAGTGGATTTATTTATATTTAAGAAGAAACTGCACGTAAATGTTTGTGCTGGGGATGGAACCTAGGGCCTCCTGCATACAAACAAATGCTCTATCACTGAGCACACCCCACGGCCCCATATAGACTCTTAATCATCCAGTATTTTTTGACAGGATTTTGGTGGAATCTACAGAATATTCAGCACTGCTGGCTCCTGTGTGCTCAGCGCCTATATGCCCCTCTCCAAGTCTTTGTGACAATCACAAGCGCCCCCCCCCATTCCCACCACCCTCAGCAGTGCGGTACCACCTGTCACTTGAGAACCACAACTGCCTCACTTACTGAGAAGAAACAGGAGGTTCCAACAGAAGAAGGCAGTGGGGATTTGTCCAAGAACCTACTACACCCAAATTGGTAGGGTGTTGGACTTTTCTGTTGAAAAGAAGGAAGAGAACTTGAAACCACCACATATGCTGGGTGTTTATTTTATTTTGGGGGGGGGGGCAGTGGGGATAAGCTCAGTGGCACTGAGCCACATCCCCAGCCCTATTTTTGTATTTTATTTAGAGTCAGGGTCTCACTGAGTTGCTTAGTGTCTCGCTTTTGTCTGGCTTTGAACTCTCTATCCTCCTTTCTCAGCTGGGGTTACAGGTGTGTGCCACCGCGCCCAGCTATGCTGGGTGTTTATTGAAATTCACACTTTGTGGGAAGGGAAGAGAGGAAACCAGGAGACCATCTCAGAGGTCCCTAGTAGGCCTCATGGAGAAGCAGAGTACTCTTTCCCACCATTGCAGGTTCCACAGAAGATGTGAGGTCTCAGGGACAACTCTGGGACTTGGTCACTATATCATTTAGACAGGGGTTCACTGGAGTCTGGCTTTCTTCTGATGATATTACCCTCTCCCTCTTTATTCCTGTTTTGCTACCCCTCTGTTTCCTTGTTGCCTCTGCCCCTGCAATCTTTCTGATTGTCTTATGTTATACTTTCCTCAAGAAAATACAAACAGGATCGTTAAATATTGCCAATACAAAGCATCCCTTTGGAGCAGAATTTTCTTGCCAGGTTCCCCCACTCAGGTGCTGGTGCAGTCCAAAGGTGTTTGGGGTTAAGGGGCAAGAGCTTATTTTTCCCAGCAGGGGGCAGCATAGCTCACTGGCATCTTGAGCATCCATTGCTCAATGTGGGTTTTGAAGTCAGACCAGTTTGAGAGCCAGCTCCACCGCACAGTCTCTGTATATCTTCAACTGTTTGCACCTCAGCTTCTCATTTGTAAATCAACACATAAATAATATTTCGATCCTCAGCACCACATAAAAATAAAGGCATTGTGTTGTGTMCATTTACACCTAAAAAATAAATATTTAAAAAAATTATAATATAGACTTTAAAAGATGTATGTGTATTGGTGGGGGGCATCAAATCAGAAGCCATTAAAAGTACTTAGCATTTAGTAAGCAGTTGTTGAACATTAACTGATGTTGTTCTTGCTGCTATTGTTATGATTAATAAGTAGAAAATGGTTATTATTAGTATTAATTAGAAAGAACACTGAATAGAAAATGGTTATTATTATTATTAGGTAGAAACTTCACTCCTATCTCCCCATTACCCTCACTCTCACCCTCAAGGCTCATCAGACTCCCACTTGTTGGCAGAAGGCAGTGAGGATGTAGATCCTGGAGGGGAGAGAGGAGGGAGGCTCTAAGTGTCCTGCGGCAACCCTGAAATTTCTTTGGAATCAGTTATTTTATATTCAGTTTTACATATCACTAATGGAATGAATAGATTAGATGTGCTTTTAATGCTATTCCTAAACACAGTCTTGTTTGTTCTAATATAAAATGTTTTAAATTTTGTGCCAGTTCAAATGTTTAGTTTCTGTCCAAATAAATTTATGAAAAAAAATAATAGCCAGGCACACATTTGTAATCCCAGCTACCTGGCAGGCTGAGGCAGGAGGATGGCAAGTTTGAGGCCAGCCTGGRCAACTTAGCAAAACCCTGTCTCAAGATAAAATTTAAAAAGAGCTGGGAATTTAGCTCAGTAGTACAGCCCTTGTCTAGCATGCGGGAGGCCCTGGGCTCCATCACCAGTACTGAGATATCAAGGGGTGGGAGGGAGAGGGAGAGATAAAAGGAGAGGGAGCAGGGAAGAGGAGTAGATATATACAGAGAATAGATAAGTAAATTGATAGA